CCCCCCCTTTTCTGGGGCTTCAATTAAAGAGCATATGAGCCAGGTTAGTGAATTAATATATATTATGTACTTGTGATGCTTGAAGTTTTCGTTTCTTGTGTATCCATGGCAGTAATTTGAGAGGAGTTTGATAGTCAATTCAGCAACTGAACTAAAATAATCTTATCCAAAACAATCACAGTACTTCCTTTGTCGGTCATTTCAGAATATACATCCCTGCAACTGCACTTATTTCCCTTTTCTTTGTCACTTGACTTTCTAGGTTTGATCCTCACACAACTTAAGTACCAATGTTAATAAACCTTCCGACCACAAGTAAAATATACATCAGGATCTTTTGATTCCAGATATCCTATTATATTGGGATTCTGTACATTCAAAGGGATAACTTGAAAATATTCTGCTAATTAACCAACATATTTCCACTTCGAGAGGTTAAAACATAAACAAATGAATGTAAAGTTTTTTAAGGCTTAACTTCATGTTAATTCAAGTAGCATAAACACTCGATTTCTCATCTGATATGTAGAAAGCAAGGGAGCATCAATGAATAATTTAAAATATTGGTTCATTTCAGTTGCCTTCTACTCCAACTGACAGTACGTACTGTCTGTGTTCTCTTCTCTTCATCCTCAAATAATTTAGGTTTCTCTTCCATTCCAACTCAAATTCTTCCCTTTAAAGAGCGAGAGCAGCCAGTACATGAATAATACATATATGCACATAACATGTATATATCAAATGCATTTATAAATAATAACGTAAATATAATGGATTCATGTTTTTCTTCTAAATTCAACGGTAGATAATTAATAAATGAGGGTCTACGGATAAATTGTTACCAAAAAAATAAAAAAAGATTTTAGAGTAGCAAGCGGCGTCAACATAGTGAAATAAAGTAACAATTCATGAATGTCCCCACCCATAAACTAGTTAGTAAAAAAAGGGAGAAAAATAAGAGAATTCCGCATACATCGAACTCGAAACATTTAGTAAAGCTTACATAGCTCTAACACCTGGTGAACCATACATCAGTCTCGACCTAATTAGTCACGGACCTGCCAAGGGTGGCTGTAAAGAAAAGTGGAAGAAATAATTAATATAGAGCTAATGTACATTTTGTAATTTTTTTTTTTTTTTTTTTTTTTTTGCGCAAACTTTACCTTTTAATAATATTATGCTGGTCGAATATGGTACACAAGCCAGATTGCCTGATTATGCTGCTAATATCCCAGTTCTCAGTTTCACAATTGAGAGAAGATGAATTGCATTTTGGAGTCAAATCACTTGAAACTACAAGGTTTTGCTGGAAACCTATAACTGAAGAAGAAGGCCCTGACTGGCTTGGAATGGAGGGGCTGATATCAGAAACCTGCTTGGCTTGAACATTGAGGAACCTTTTGCAGCACAGTTTCTCTCTTGTTCTTTCCCTTGCTCTTGCTCTTGCCCTCGCCCTTGAATCTCTTGCAATAAGTAATGCTGCAGCTTGTTGTGGATCCTTTGCTTCTTTACTGTTGGTAGCATTAATCAAAGATTTTTTCTTTAAATTTGTCCCCAAGGATTCCTCGTTTTCATCAGCTTTATTATTCCCACATTCAGAAGGGGAAGAATGGATATTGTCGGTACTTTGTTTCGTGCGAATCAGCTCCTTGATTTCTGTTTTTGATTTTGTAATCAGCCAATCAAGGGTTTTGCTTGGTTTGTCGAAACCTAGCATGTCTTGAAGATCAAAGAACTTGCGTGCAATACTTATGGAAAGCCGCACTCTTCGATCCCTCGGACCTGTAGCTGTAAAGATTTTGCTGTGCCTTTTATTTTTCACCGTCCTTTTTCTTCTTGGGAACGCATTTACAGTAGTCCCAAGATCTATATTTAGCCTGTGAAAATCTTGATAACCTAATGCAGTCTCGCTTAGAACTGGCAAGTCAATGGCGCCCTGAAGAACCGGAGCATTGTCTGCTAAATTATAATTGCCAGAAAGCAGATCGTGGTGGTGGCGAAGCAAAATTTCACTGTTGTTTAAGCAGAGAAAAGAGGTAAAGGGGTGAGAAGAAGGTACAATCTGCGGAAGAAGGTGTGGATTCTTACTGGAAGAGAACATTTTGAGTTAAGATTGTAATGGTGAACCCTATTCTTTCACTGGATGTGAAGAAAAGATCAGAGTCTTCTGGGATACGAGGGCATGCTTTAAATTAAGTGCAAACATGTTAATTATTCGAAATTTATAAATGTGGCCAGTCTGTGAAAAACCTAGATTACCTCGTGTGTGGTAAGGAAGATGGAAGAGAGGAAAGAGGAGGAAATATCAGAGGTTGGGAAGGGCTTTTTTCTGGATCGAAGGCAGTACTATTTCAATTTTTTACCTATAAATTTTAAGTCAAAATAAAAAATTTCCATGACTTTTCAACTACACATTCATTAATTTTTATCAAAATTTACTTAAAATTTAATTTGGTCGCCTAAATACTCTTCCGCCATAGAATACTCATTCACATTCATAGTTAAATCCATCAATTTCTAAATTTGTTACTTGATCCTTGTGTGAAGTTCATTTTTTGAGTAGTAATTTTGTGAATATTGATTTTTTTTGGAAAATACATGGTTAAAAAATAAGGAAAAGTTATGAAAAATGTGAAAAAAGTATTTGTTTAGAGAATATGTGGTTAAAATAATTATTTATTTATTTTAAGATTGTGTGAATGAAAGTGTGGGGAAAAAATTTTTTAAAAAAAATTCTTTCGAGCAAGGTTTACTGTTATTCAGAATGCCATTGTTAAGAATTCTAAGATAATTGACCAAAGTTTTTGGGCCTGTTTAACAACGCTGGACTGGGCTCATAATTTTGTATGGAGAAAATTAAAAGGAGAAATACATAAACACAATGCTTTAACTATACAATTTCATTTCTACAAACTTACAAAAATATTTCAAAAATCAGGTTATAATATTAATATGTGTTTTTCAAATGTTATAAAATAAATCTTGAAAAATTAGTTAATTTAGGATACTTCCCATCAACAATATTATGCCCTTTTGGGATCCATTTTATTCAAAATGCATTTTCTTTCTTGTTTCAATCATATATTTTTCAATAAAATAATATTACACATAAATCAAACAAAATTCTTATTTTTTAATTACGCATTCTTCAAAAAGTTATTATTTCAAAATTGTTAAAAATTAGATAAATTAATAGACTTGCGTGTATTTTATTGAGAATCAAAACCTCATATTTATAGGAAATGATTAGAGATATAATTGTAATAATTTTTAAATTTGTATGAGTGTACTTGTCATTACTAAATTTACTGTTTACAACACATCCCATTGAATGACACTAAAAAATATCAGTCTCGTTAAAACTTGTCAAGAAAATCTGTTGGGGTTGAAATGACTTCATTATATCCTGAAGTTAATGGAGAACTAATGGAGGCACATATGCATCAACAGACTTGGCATGGAGAAGAAAACAGATTCAAGAAAAACCAGTAGAACGAGATTGATAACTAGCAAGAAAATAACACAGCAGCAACAAATGAAACACAGAGAGTAGATACAGAATAAAACCAGTAGAAAAAGAACAGAGTTAAAACGGGAAGAATGATCTTTCTCGGTCGTTATTCATCCAAGACTTTACATGATTTTCCAAACTAGAAATCATCAGAAATATTCTATATATCTCAAGAGTTTACAACTCTATCTTATCTCACTTTCTATCATTCTCGAGTTACAACCTTACTTCAGTTCTAAAACAGGTATTTATAGGCATAAAGGAGTATCAAAGTTAGTTATTAACTACCTAACTAACGATGGCTCCATATAGTTGAAAATTCCAACCAAAATCAGTTGCAAAACAACTAGAAAAAAGGCTACAGTTCAACTGCAATTCTGATTGCTTGAGGAATCAAGAGATAGACTTTAAGGAATCATTTTCTTAGAATCTCCACCTTGATTCCTTGAAGTGAATTTACAAATGCAGCTGGAACCTTCAACTTCATTTCCTTGTAAAACATAGATGCCTTGTTGTAGCACCCTTTCATAACCACCAACGAATTTTCCATCACCTTTAACACTCTACCTTGAGCTTTGTACATACAACCAGATTTGTTAAGTGCTCCCAGTGAGATCAGATTTCTTTCTAGGCATGGTACATGCCTCACTCCACCTAGGACCTTTAATGAACCATCCCACAATTTCAGCTTGACAAAACCAACATCAGCCACTTCACATGTGTTATCATTTGCCATCAGCACTTTACTTTCAGCAACCGGTTTGTACTTCATGAAAAATTCATTTCTTAGTCTCATATGAAATAAAAACTTGTGTCCATAATCCACTCATTGGTCTGGCTTGCACTTGTCACAACAAGCACTTCACCAACTTCATAGCCTGCAAACGTATTTGCACACTCTCCATCTTGCTTGTTGTTTCCTTGCTTTATCCACATCTTGTTTCTTTGTGGACAATTCTTCTTAAAGTGCTCTTCTTGATGACAAATCCAGCACACTTTCTTTTTATTTCTTTCTTGTACATTCAGCACTTCTCCATTCCTCTTAGCAAGATTTCCATTCAACTTCAAATCCAATTCCTTTGAGTAGGCTGCTGCAACTACTTCTTTAAAGGTCAAGGATTCTTTGCTATATTTGATGGTGTCTCTTAGATGATCATAGGCTGGGAGCACAGAATTTAACAAGAAAATTGCTAGATCTTCTTCATCAATCTTGATTTCCAGATTCACCAGGTCTGCAACCAGCTTTGTAAACTCATCAATATTCTCATCAATTGACTTTGATTCATCCATCTTAAAGCTGTAGAACTTGTGCTTCAAGTAGATCTATTTTAAAAGAAAATGGCTTGATCTTCTTAATCTATCTTGATTTCCAGAGTCTCCAGGTCAGAGACCAGCTTTGTAAACTCATCAATGGTCTCATCAATTGACTTTGATTCATCCATTTTGAAGTTGTAGAACTTGTGCTTCAGGTAGATTTGGTTTGGCAAAGCTTTGGTCAAGTAGAGCTCTTCCAGTTTGTTCCACATTTCAGAAGTTGTCTTCTCCTTGATTACCTTCCTTAGAACTGTATCAGAGAGGCTAAGGATGATGGTATTTCTTGCCTTCTTCAAGGTGTCAGCCTGGTTTTAAGCCCCAGTTCCAGATTTTTCTTTCAAGGCTTCTTCTAATCTAAAATTACCAAGAGGTGACATCATCTTCTCCCTCCATAGGTTAAAATCATTCTTGTCATCAAATTTCTCCATTTCAAATTTGGATGTTAACATCAGGGGCGGAGCTAGCCCTTCAAATTAGGGGGGTCCCAGAGTTGAAGGGGTTTTTTGGAAAATACATGGTTAAAAATTAAGGAAAAGTTATGAAAAATGTGAAAAAAATATATTTAGAGAATATGTGGTTAAAATAATTATTTATTTTAAGATTGTGTGAATGAAAGTGTGGGGAAAAATAATTTTAAAAAAAATTCTTTCATAATGCCATTGTTAAGAATTCTAAGATAATTGACCAAAGTTTTGGGCCTGTTTAACAACGCTGGACTGGGCTCATAATTTTGTATATAGAAAATTAAAAGGAGAAATACATAAACACAATGCTTCTATACAATTTCATTTCTACAAACTTACAAAAATATTTCAAAAATCAGGTTATAGTATTAATATGTATTTTTCAAATGTTATAAAATAAATCTTGAAAAATTAGTTAATTTAGGATACTTCCCATCAACAATATTATGCCCTTTTGGGCTCCATTTTATTCAAAATGCATTTTTCTTTCTTGTTTCAATCACATATTTTTCAATAAAATAATATTACACATAAATCAAAAAAAATTCTTATTTTTTAATCACGCATTCTTCAAAAAGTTATTATTTCAAAATTGTTAAAAATTAGATAAATTAATAGACTTGCGTATATTTTATTGAGAATCAAAACCTCATATTTATAGGAAATTATTAGAGATATAATTGTAATTATTTTTAAGGTTGTATGAGTGTACTTGTCATTACTAAATTTACCGTTTACAACACATCCCATTGAATGACACTAAAAAATATCAGTCTCGTTAAAACTTGTCAAGAAAATCTGTTGGGACTGAAATGACTTCATTATATCCTGAAGTTAATGGAGAACTAATGGAGGCACATATGCATCAACAGACTTGTGATGAAGGCAAAATAATAATTCCATTTAATTTCGGGTTTGTTCGTTTTTAGCGAATTACTAGTCTAATTTGATTGGAAACGGGCCAATGATCACAACTCAGGGCCTTTGGCCCTGATGCACGTCAAATTTTGGGCAAATTCCGTCGTTTAGGCCATCAATTAAGCGTTTTTGCCGTTTATGGTAATTTTTGTTTTGGCAATATCTTAGTCAA